GGGTGTCAATGCCAAACGATACGTGTTCTTGTTCCGCCCCCAAAATATAGGTCCAACTCTGCCCTTTCCTGCACCGGCACCGCTTCTCCTGCGGAGAAGTCAAGCTCCATTTGCTGACGCCCAAGAGTGGGTCTGGCATGCACTGTCAAACACGGCACGCATTCCAATCAACATCACCTCACATCCGTCGAACGATTCTATTTTCCTCGCGAACGATGCTCCTTCCGACGGCTGGCACGCAAGTCAGGCCGTTCACCTCTCAAGTAGATCATCTTCTCGGGACTGTACCTCGGGCCTTGGTAGTACCCTCCGACAAACCTAGCCGAGATACATACTATAGCTCGATGCCACCAACGGAAGTAGGGCGAGAACAGGACGATCGACATGCTCAAGCCACCGTACGCCAACTTCTTCCGCTACATTCAGCGAGCAAGACCCGACGTACGCTCCAACGCACGAGTCCTTGCGTCTCGGTGGAGACGATGCTTGGGTGGCTGACTGTCCACTTTTCGTCTTTTCGTACTCTCAGTCACAAAGCAGACCTTCCTTGTGCTCCACGAACTCTGCTGAGGAACACATCCAGGCACTCAATCCCACAAATCAACAACAACGTGTCGATTGATCAATAATGGCCTCATCATGAGTGTCATCGTGGCATCCTCGGCGCACCGAAGAAGTGAGCCACACTCCCGATGACCACTACTCCTGCCCATCGCGTGACCCGCCTGGTCGAAGCGAAGACCAGGTTTTGCCAGTTCTGCGGTAAGCGAGACTCAAGTATAGGTGGAAGGAGGGGGGACCTTTCCCTCACTCGGGTTTCGATGTCAACCTATTGCGCGCCCGTGCTATGAACTGACATCGCAACCGGAGTGAGCGAAAGCTCCACCCGCCCTCGACGTATATTTGGGTTCGTTTACCGCAGAGCTGGCCGAAGCTGGTCTTCGCTTCCACTAGGCGCGTCACGTGATGGGGAGGAGTATCGGTCATCGGAAGTTTGGCTCTTTTGTTCGTTGCGGCGAGGATGCCACGATGATGCCAGGCACTTGATGGGGATGGGGCCGTTGTTGATCAAATGCTTTGATTTGTAGACTCTTGGGTGATCTCTTGTTAAGCAGAGAGCAAGGAAGGACTGCTTTGAAGGAGAGAGTGCACGAAGTGGGCAGCTGCGGGGCTACGAGCTACAAGACAAATGATCAAGCCGCATTTACGAAACGGAACCAGACGCCACCCGCAACCTGTGTTCAGTCGGTCGGTCGAACCACCCACAACGTTTTTTTTTCCCTTACAAAATCACAACAAGATGTTTCCATTCAATCGTTAGAACATTTCATATTTCATCAGAGAACGACTACATAGACTACTGCCAAGACACAAGGGAGCGTATTGATGAACGCATTACAGGGAGGCACTTGCCTTTGGCTGCCATGCCGTCTGAGAACCCAACAATTCACAGTTTCGGACTGGGGCTCCAAATTTGCTGAGATAAGGAAACAGATTTTGAGATAAGAAAGTTTCCTGGAAACTTCCTGCAGGCGAATATTTTTCGATTTAAGGCGGCTTCATGTGATTGGCTGTGGGACGACAGTCACCCAACCAACTTCCCCTGTTCGCAGGTACTGCTGTTTTTTGTGGTGCGCTGTGTGACAGCTGCACCCTGAACACAGCGCTCCCACTGCTGTTGAATGTGCGTGCATGCGTGTCTGTGTTGCCCCCTTAAGCCCAGCACACGAACCCGCACCAGAACAGCGACAGGAAGTACACATAATGCCCGGCAGCCCAGTACGAAGTGCTGTGTATCGCATTTCAAGCGTTGGGGAGAGGGTGATTTTTTTGGGGCGGGGGCACATCGAAGTCAAACACGCTCTCTCAAGTAGAAGCAGAGAATACATACTCTTTCTTGCGGCGCGTCACCAGAAGGCAACAGCAGCGTGCTCTTCTTCCTCTCTGCCCTTTGCTGGCGGTGCTGCCACCTCCTCTACGTCGTCGCTTGCTGCGGTTCGTTCCGGCGCTCTTTCTCCCCCTTGCCTCAACCTCTGTGTGTTACGGGCGCGTGTTGCTGACCTAAAGCCGCGCAACAACCAACCCCAACTTGGTTTTCTGACCGTGCAGCCTCCCCCTTTCTGTGTTGGTGGCGCGCCAACTCCAGCGCATTTGCGTTGGCGCTGGGTTTTATGTGGGCGGCCGCTGGACATGCTCTTGCAGACTGTGTGTGTGCGGGTGGCGCCTGATGATGTGTTGTGTGTGGTGCCTGATGTGTTATTTCAAAGAAAGCTGCTAAATCGAAAAGTTGGCAAAATTTTCCACAAAACCAGCCTCCCTCCGCTGTTAAATCTGATTATTTTTCCCTTATCTTGGGTTCTGGCGAGACTGTCAGGAACGATCCTCAGAACGATGGCTTAACTCAAAATATATTTCCTTATTTCAGTTTTTTTTTGGTTCCGAAACTGTCAAAAAAAAACGGTTTTGCAATGAATCAAAGGGGTGATGACAGCTAGTTACCACCAGCACAAAGCGGAGAAGACAATCGGGGCAGGAAACCATGACCAAAAGCACTTCTTGTAGAGTCGAAGGGAGGGTTTCATGAGGACTCAATCCTGGCGCCAGGCAGTGGTACGGTTTGAAATTTCACACCAATGTTCATTTTGGCAGAATGGTGATTTTCACGCTCTCTGTCCAATCAGGAAGATCATCCCTCCGACTTGTATGATGTGTGAACGTGTCCGACTTTGCCATCATTTGCAGATGGGCGGACGGAGAATGCCCCCAGAATGCTTGGTTGGATGGGATGCAAGTAGGTATAAGTGGTTGGGTGATGAGGATTACGTTCTGTAGCGATATGTATGGTTGTCTCCGGTGGGTACTCGAGTAAGGAAATAGTCGAGAATTGCTTACAGGACGGCGAGGTGGTCCCTGTACACGGAGCTCCCTGGCCACTTTTAGGTTGCGGTTAATTCCGATGACTTCCCCCCTACACGCAGGCTGCTTTCAAGAACAAAGAACATGGTCGTTGTCAGCCGTCCTTCGTTAATCAACGCCACCCCGGTCGGCCCTTTTGTTGGGCCCAAACTGGCACAACTAACTACCGAAACATCGAACCAAACGCAGCTGTGGTTGATGACGATGTCCACGTCGGTTCATGCATAACCTGACCTCGACCGAGTAGCTTCCCGTGTCCTTACTCTCGGTGGCCAAGGAACAAACTTCTGCGGTCATAAGAGGTATCAAACTGGAGCCGTTTAGGTCGTGGAAGGTTCGCCGAGATCACTCACCATGTCATCCTATGAGCACTAAAGCACTAACCCAAGACTGCACGAAAGGGGGCTACCTGCGTACGTGCCGTATTCCTTTCCCCATTGCGTTCATGTCTCAAAACATACCATGTATTTATTGTGAGGCACGTTGTTCGATTTTCAAAAAAAACAGGCTTTGACGAAAACCCTCTGTCATACATTGTGTTTGGCCATGCTTTCAAAGACTGTGCGAAAACAAGCGTGATTTCATCTGCCCCTCCTCCCCCACGCCTCAAACCCCCTACAAGTACTTGACGAGGAAATGTAAGTGTCGCATCCACAGCCAGACAGAAAAAGACAGGCACAAATATAATTTTTGAGTCCGAAATACACCTGGTTCAAACATCCTACAAACGTTCCCTTTCGAGAAATACACAAGGAGGTGTTCTCAATAGAACCATTGAGGCAGAGTACGCTTCTGGCTAGAAGAAGGGCCGGGGACTGGACTTTGATGAACTGGAGAAACTATGTAGCTGACTAGAAGGTCGACAGATTGATGGCAGATGGTTGCCGTACATAATTCTCACGCGCAGTGCCGCTGCTGTTTGGCCAGTCTTCTCTCTCCACGATATGATTATGTATTGGGTGTCCGCCGCCGAATAAACGCCTAGACGGCAGAGTGCCATAGTCCGCCTGGGTGAACTGGGTCGTTGTCTACACTACGCCGGAAGGCCAAAAGGAGCAAGTCGGCCGTCAGCCCACGATTGGGGGCCTTCTGAACCAGGCTATCTGGTGCATGCGAACCACGTTTTGCCGACGAACGGTGTAGTGTCGCTTATTTTTGGTCTTGACTCTCCCCTTTGCAAAATGCTGTTCTACGAAATTTGGAGCGGAAATACTATTCTACATCACTCCCGTTGTTTCGGAATCAAGTTTGCAAGTCCAATGGAGACACACAAAAAAACTAATTTTCCCTCTCTCGGGTATGCTTGGGGGCGGGCGCGATTAGGACCATATTGCTCGCTGAACAACAGTAGCAACTATGTATTTCTCTGATACTAACGGAAGCCGACCTCACATTCCCCCGGCCGCCATCTACGAAACCCGTGCGAACGGGCCGATTTTTTTTCCACTCCAGCAGGTACTGCCTCTGCAGGCCGTATGCAATTACCACTCCCACTACTACCACCACCTCTGCCTCCACTGAAACCGCCGCCACCGCCGCCGTAACTACCACGGGAACGTGTGCTGAGAGGCCTGTCAGATAAACCTTGACATGCTAGTGCGGTGGGAACGGTGGCGGCGTCGGCCAGGAGGGAAGACGGCGAGGCCTGGCGCATGCGTGGAGAGTTTCTTGCGCTCCCACCGGTAAACGCGCGGTGGCCTTCCGAACTGGCGACAGCGGCAGCGACCCCGCATTCTTCGTCGTTGCTCCCAACGCACAGCGAAACCGTCGGCATGATCAGTTCCGTTGCAACCGCACCGCCGCCTCTACCTCTGCCGGTAGCCGGCCTTCGGGGGCTGCTAGTTGACCTTGTCCCACTCGCGGAAAGGAGTTTGCCGTTCACATCCGCAGTTTTCGCAGGCGATGCGGGCGGCACCAGGTTTACGATGTTTTGGCACGCTTTTCTGCTGCCGGTCGAAGTCTGTGGGCGCTGCTGCGGTCGGTTGTCGCCTCCGCCACCGCCGTAGTCGAAGATCCTCCTCGTGTCAGCGTCGAACCCGTGTTCTCTTCCCCTCTCTCCTAGCAACGAAGCCAAGTCTGTCGGTCTACCACCCGCGATAATGGAACCGGCTCTCGCCACCGCCGCCGCCGACTCCGGCTGGCGCTGCGGCTGAAGCGGAGGCAACGCAGCGGCTGTCTCGGCAGCGGCCGGCGGCGGCATCCTTACCGGGTGGGCCGCCGGCACCTCGATCGCCCTTCGCTTTGCCCCCGTGTACTGCGCCGCGCTGTTCGGCCGCCTCGGCGCCCTCGCCGCGACGCTGCTCGTGCACCCGTTAACGACGCGGTGACACCCACCAGCGCCGCCACAACCGCCGCCGTGACCGTCGACGCCGGCCGGAGCGCGAGCCACGGGACCCCCGATCTTGGACCTGGAGAACCGGAACGGTGGAGGCTTTGCTGCCGCTGTCCCGCAGCCACCGTGGATCGACCCCGTGGTGGATGGGCGGAACGGGGCCCGAGTCGGCCAGCCGTCTCCCCGCAACGCAAGGGGAGGAGGAGAAGATGGGACGAGCTGGTAATGGACCGCGGCGTACGGGTGGTTCCCCGATGTTGGTTGGTTACCGGTTGGCCGGTGATTGATGACCGGCTGTTGTTGTTCGGGTTGTTTATTTTTTTTAGTTGATTGGGCGGCGGATGGTCGACGGCACACAATCGACAGACAGGACGGAATACAGGAGCAAAGGCATGGTGAGGAGCATGGGGAACGCACGGGAAGAAAGAAATAAGTTCAAACTTGGCATGTATCGGTGTTGTTATCCGTTTGGCAGAGGTGATGTAATTAGGCCATCGTCCTTGCCCGCGGGTGCTGCTGCATCGACGTGGTTGAAACGCAACAACGACGAAGCGACTTCATATCGAAGAGCGAAAAGCAACGCGAGGACCGACAATAGTTGCCTTACGTACCCGCAGACCGCAGCCGACAGGAAACCCCCCCATTGTCCCCGCCGCGCCTCCGGTCCCTCTCCACGCCCCGGGCTCGTTGTTGGTCCGTACGATGCTACCCATTCCTCGATAGCCGGTCGTAGGCCACCCCGCAGACCGCGTGTAGACGCTGCTACTCGTATATGGGTGATTGGTAGAGGGAGGGGTATGCAAGAAACAGGGGGAGAAAGAGGCGTGTTGGAGGGGGGGAGTTGGAGCGGTTAATATTGAGGGCCCAACCCGTTCGTGTGAGAGCCCATCTGAGTCTCTGTTCTAGGGCTGCCGGGGCAGCGAATGAAAGTGGGGTGCAGGTCTTCACACTTGTTGTCGGCTCCTGCGTTGTGAGCAGCTAGAGTTGCCAAGATGGCATAAAGACCAAGTGAGGACGCCTCTTGATATGAAGCGCCGTTTGTATGGACCCTGTGTGTGTTTTAACGTGCTCATGTGGCGTCGCACGGCCAAGGACGGAGTGAACCGAGCACAGCAATTCACTCGTTTCGCGGGGTTGTGTACCGCCAAGCCCTTCATGCGGGCATGTCTCCCGTCTCAAGCTGTAGAAACGTTTTTCTATCGTGTTGCTCCTTGCGATCACGGCGCAATAGGGATGCTCATTATTGTCCGCCTTTCTTTCCACGTTTACCTCTGCTGGAACTCGAGGTTCTCGGTGGCACTCCATTGCCGACTCTGCTGCATCTGCATCTGCATCTGCATGTGCTGGTGCAGGTCCTGATGCGGGCCTTCCAGATCCACCATGCTCTCCCGCCCGTCCTGATGACGACCGCCCCACCTCTCGTCACATCCCGCCGTGGGTGTCCCCGTTTCCTCCCCCCCAAGGTGCCCCCCGTTATTTTCTCTCCCTTCCCCACCAACACCGCTATTCATTATCGCCTTGCCCTCTATAGCCGCCGCCGCCGCCTCTGCAGCCAACCTTGCGGCCTTCTTGAAGAGCTTTTTTCGACGCTTGGCCTCCTTCTCCCAATCCCTGCAGCCGGCGCCGCGGCCCCTGCCCCTCCTTCTCGCCGGGCTCCGAGACGGCGATTTCTTATTCTTGTTGCCACTCTTCTTGCTTCGTTTCCCCCTCCCGCTGTTCCTTCTCCGGCGCGAGGTAGAGGACGGAGACGTTGCATCCCCCGACGCAAAACCGCCGCTACCGTGATCGGAGGTGTCGCCCTCTACAAACTCTACTCTGCGTTGTTTCCTGCCTTCAGGAAGATCGCCACCACCCCGGCTGCCTCCGTCACCGCCAGGGACAGAATCCGTTCTCGGTGGCGGGGAAGAGTCTTCGCCGTCCCCGTCCTGGCTGCATGCCTCCTCGGCTGCGCCTGCCGCCGGAGCGGTGGAGCCAGCCTTTATCTCTGCTTCTCTCCCTGGGCCCGTCGTCGCGGTCGCGTCAATGACTACCGGCGGCGGAATCGCACCCGGGAGCGCACCGGAGGATTTACGCCCACTCCCACTCTCGCCTCGTCCATCGCTGTGGTCGACGGTTGCACGGGAGACCGGCGGGGACTCAGTCGCAAGCGAAGCCCGGGGCGGCGCGGAATGTTGTGCGGACTGCTCTGGCGAGTTTTTTGCGCCGACCAGTGATGACCGGGGCTGCTCTGAGCCCGGCCGGTTCCCGCGGCTAGGACTTGGAGGCGGGCTCGCAGACCTGCGTGTTGTAACAGTTGCAAATGTTTTCGGAGATAGCAAAGAAACGTCGTTATTGTTGTTGTCCCCTGGTGGTGCGTGTTGTAAGCCAAACATACATATGCATGCACCTCGTCACAACTTGTCTACTTTGAAGCGCTTGCACCGACTATGCGTGAGGATGCAGAAGGGCCACGGCGTTGTCGCTTTCATATTTCTTCCCGCCTGAATTGTTTGTGTCGAGCTTGTGAGCGGGCGTACGATCCAAGCACGGACCAGATGTTCGCTGACATTTTCGTGTTGGGGGGTTGGCGCTGAATGCGTGTCGAGAATCAGGTCTCAGCCGTTGAAACCCAGCTCGACCCATCCATGAACATATGAATGACAACCTACCAGCGAGAGTCGGCCGGTTTCAGTGAAGGAGTTGAGGAGCAACACGGATGAGAAACGAATTTTGAGCCGAACTCGAGCACCAACAGCGTCGGTAGTGGTGGTGGTGTGGTCGGTTGGTCCCCTCACTCGCAGTCTCATGTTTGGTCGGGACAGTACAGGCACGGACAGTCATTCGAACATGTTATAATTCTCTCCTTCGTCTTCGTCGTCGTCGGTGCTTTTCCGATTTTTTGCTGTTGCTGTTGGCAATAGAAATATTTGCCGCGACGTACCGTGGAGAGTGAACTGGAGACTGGCTGTACTTGGACAGGCTTGAGAATACCTTTTCGGCCACACGAAGAACCTGGAATCAGAATTGTTTCAATGAAAATAAGGCAGACGTAGGCGAGATGAGAGTACGGTGACGGAATGGTTCGTTGGAAGGGGGGGTAAGGCGAGACTCGTTGTTGTTGCTCTAGTATCTTCCCAGAGAGAGAAACGATGGGTTCAAAACCTCTTTGCGCAAATATGAAGTTGCGCTGATCGAATAATCCATAACTACAAGTTGTTTCACACCTGCTTCCTTGTTGACAGCTGCGCACAAGAACGAATGAAAACCGAAAGCCTTTTCGAGGCCAACAACGGGTGTATTGATGACGGAAAGGTGAAGAAGAAGCTATTGCGACGTCCCACCATCGCAAGAACTCTATCGTTGCGGGAATATCTCGACGACACTTGAGGATATAACAAATTCCCAGGGGTAATTTCACACTACGGGAAATGCTCGATTCCAAACAGAAACCAATTCCAAAAGTTGAAGTCGCAAAAACTGCGTTGCTACGGCATGAAGCAATACCATGTTAGTACAGTGACCTGAAGACGGCTCCTCCATGAATTTCGTCCATTTGATGCATCCAGCCTGAAGCAGGCTGTGGTGAGAGAAACGAGTCCCGATGCTTGTTTGGGACAGAACATCTTTACAAACTGCAACACACGCGAACCACGTGATTTATCCATCCATGTATTTTTACCTTAGTATAGGATGCTCTGGGATCCGGTGACGTCTCCGAGGGCGGGAAAATGCGCTCAAAGCCCCCCTTAACGGCCTGCTCGAACTCTTCGCGGGCCCGTCCGACCGCTAGCCTGCAAAAATCGAGTGCGAGCGGGCATCGTCGTCGTCGTCGTCGTCGTCGTCATCGTCGTCGTGTTCATGAAGGGGTTAACGTCGCTTTCGTGCGGCAAGGTGATCGTGGGAACGTTTGCAGTAGATCCTCGCAGCACCATACTTTTCAGGGTCGTCGTTAATTCACCTCGGTGTGGGGTATAGGCCAAAAGACAAGCACCCTATCTGAAATCCATCCACCGAAAGGAGTCGGGCAAGAGGATGGCAGTGACGACGGTGTTTGTACGGAAAATTGGAGTAATCTCAGTCAATATGCCGATGCCATGCCTGCTTCGATTCTTCTTCTTGGAGCTGTTTTTGGGGCTGATGCCCCCTCCCCCTCGCCCCGCCTCCCCACCGCCCCCCGGCCCGCTCACAGGGCTCTGGCCGCCGTCTTTCGGCGGCAAGCCGAACAGCCTTATCCTCTTGACCCTCTCCATCTCCGTTTGCCATTCCTCTCTCTCCCCGACCTATCTCATCAATCGTGTCGAGTATATTCGTGGTCGACGATCCAGTTGGGGAAAAGAGTCACTCGTCACCATACAACACGAACCGAACATTTTACACTTATTTGTTGGTGGTTGTGTATTTGTCTCTCTCTCTCTCTCTCTCTCTCTCTCTCTCTCTCTCTCTCTCTCTCTCTCTCTCTCTCTCTCTCCCCCTTTCCCTCTCCCTCTCCATCTTCTGCCTTTCTATTTCCCTCCCTCCCTCTCCCTAACGAGCACATAGGAATCCAAAGAACGTCGATGAAGTGTTTTACCCCCAACACTGTAGCAACGCCACGATTTCCATTCGTACACTACCAACATCTGTCGTGAGCGCGTCGTACGTTCTTCATAGTTGTAACCTTGCAAACTTCTGCAATTCTGGTATTTGAGCCAATACAATTGACGCTCGAGGGAATATGCTGAAAGGCCGGGGCTTCAAGAGCTGATTCAATCGGTCTCTTCATCGCCACTACAGCGACAGACTGTCTAGCTCAGTGTCTTCCGGTTCCTTGTTGTTGAGCTCGTAGCTGTTCGTAATTTTGAAACTTTCACTTACCCGAACGTCGAGTAGGCTGAGCGTGTTGAAGACCAGCTGCTTTTTGATCCTGTAGTCCATCCCCGTCTCAGTCCTGACCGAACATGCAACGTTTTTTTTTCGGGGAGTGAGTGGTGAATGTTAGTACACTCATTGTGGTGCGCGGTCGTCTTCTGCTAATCACGGGACGGGGGTGGGGACGCCCGTGTCAATGGACACCGAATATCCACCACCCAGCATCTCGTTGTTCCTATCCCCGAAACATTGCACCAACCATCACCTGAAAGAAGGCAAATGATTGATCTCGATTATCCATGGGTCAAGCTCGTCGTCCACCATCAGATCCACCCCGACGATGGTGAAGCAGGTCGACCGCGGGGGCGGCGGGGTAGGGGTGGCAGCCTTTCCTTTCGACGCCGCCGCCGACGCGAAGCCTCCGGGGGGCGGGTTGGCGGCGTTGTACTCTCGACGCAGCATCGGGCCAACCGTCAGGAACGTTTTGACGCAGGCGTCGGCCAGCCGCGCCCACAGGGCCTGTTGTCATAGTTGTATTGGAAGTGTGCGCTGGAGGTTTACCTACGTTTCGATGAGACGACGGATGTTTTGAGACGCCCCGATCACTGCAGTCGGGTTTAAGACTTTGGGTCACCTCTTCTGTCACTCACGCTTGGCGACCCTCTGCCTCATTTTCACCTTCTCCCTCGAACTGATGTAGCCGAACCGCGGGGGGCAACTCAACACCATGCTCCTTCGTTGCATATATGTGCATATGTGCGTGACATAGGGCCAACACACCTCGCCCATCTTCCACCGTGCCATTTTTCCAATCTTCTACGTGCACAATCATCTACTTCGCATGGCATACCACCAGTGAGAGCAAGGCACCACAAAGGCTCCCCGTCTTTTCTGTGGGACATCGGAACACGTGACATGCCAGTACGCACCGCGCTGTCGTGGCCCTGTTCATCAAGCCACTTCTTGAACCACTTGACAGACCGCTTGAACCCGCTCTCTCCCATGTCATCGCTCGTGAAGTTAGAGCTAGTCTGTTCGGTGCGGCAGACCGTTGATTCGTGGCCGAGGGCATGGATTAGTTGGTTCGGTCGGCCATCGAGAGAGTGAGGTAGCGGTTTCGATGGAGAAAGCGTGATTGGTGACGGGTAGAGGGTGTCGCAACGTTTGAAGTCGAGAAGAAATCGCGTCACTTCCCGTTTTATTATGTCAATGCAGACCCGTATTGGGTTTCACGATTCAGTTTTTCTAGTGCTGCAGGCGCAGGCGACAGTGAGCCGCGGATTTGTAGAGCGAACTGCCTGGTGTGGATGGAAGCTTGCCTGCTCCCGCCGGTCTCCATCTTGGTCATACAGTGGTGCGCCGCCTATAAAACAGTGCACGATTAGCCTTACGGCACACCAAGGTTCAAAATATGCTTTCTACATTATTGCGACTTGATGGAGGTCTTTATTGTTTTGGGTCAGCCTACGGCGGCAACGAAGTGGGATCCTTCGCGCCGAAGACGAACGAAAAAGGAGTCCGGGTTTCAAGGCCAAACAAGACGATGAGAAATTCACAACATCGCCCCTAGTGGCGAGAGACAAGGGTTCGCACCCACCTTGTTAACACTGTAGTTGGTGAGGTGCATGGTAGTCTTGTTGATGTTACTCTCCGCCGGGGCTTCGTATGCCTCGGTGCAGATGCGGACCTAAATATTATTACGTCGTCGGGGCCCCACCACGAGGTTACGAGCACCCAATAACGATACGGGTAGGAGCGGCGCATTTGTGACGAGTCGTCGTAGAGGTTAAATGGGTGACCCTACAGGCTTTGAAGGCTGGCGGAAGGCGTGTTCGGCAATGTTTGCTCGAAAACATTTTGAGACTATAATAGGAGTCGTAGCACCTGCACGAGAAAATAAATAGTCAATTTCAACATGAAAAGCCATTCGTTTCCCGCCCTCACAAACCCCATCCTCCGTCTTCTTGCAACCGATGACGACGACGACAATCATGGTGACAACTACCAACGATAACTCACAAGCCCGTCCTCAAAGAGGAATATGCGCATCGGGTTGACGCTCGTCACCAGCACGTACAGCCGCAGGTCGAACTTGTACCCGTCAATCAGCAATGGGTTCGTGAGGTAGCGCTGCGCGACAGACTTGCCCTGCAGCGCTGCAACCGAGCTCAGCTGCGGGAACGAAACGTACACAGCGATAGGTCAAGCAAATCATGTTTCTTTGTATTTGAGCAAGGTTTTGGACTAGTCACGCTTCAAGGATGACAAGCGACATGTGAACGCGCCCATGTGTTTTTTGTGTCCGGGACAATAGGAAGAAATGAGCGCAGCTAGGTTTGGGGGCAGGGATGCATAACAATAGAGGTGATTGTTTTCATAAGTATCTGAGAGAGACTAACGGCTGGCACAACACATACACACGGTTGTTGCTCCTTCGTTCGATGATTATCTTTTCGTTTTCAGGTATCTTAATCTGCATCCTGCAGGAGTCTGTGACGTGTACGCGATGTCCGCCGCCACAAGCCGCTCAGCAGTACATACAAACGACTGGCCTCAACCATGCCATTTTGACAGATGTTGAGTGTTTCGAGTTTTTTTTTTTTCTTCGCGTGATGTTGCTCTGACACCAACCTTGGCCATGGCCCTATCCCCATTCCTCGACCTACCGTTACCCCAACAATGATCCCCTCACGCTGCCACAACGCACACCTGTTTCGTGAGGAAGATCCCCTTTCCCTGACACCCGGCATCCGGCTTGATTATGAAAATCGACTTGCTGGTGCCCTTGGGGCCGAATTCCTCCCTGGCAATGCCGTACCGTGCAGGGGAGGGGGAGGGTTTGCAATCATCTTGCAACGGTCATCTACTCAAATACGCCCCCAAGTCCTCCAACACCTACATTAGCGCCACAATGAACGGCAACGTGGATGATATTCTTCGATGTCGACGTCAGCGGCAACGACGCCAACAACACCACGAGCAAAATACCCTTCCAACGGCAAGCGAACGCGGGCGGGGCCGCTCTTTCACACCTGAACTCGTTCATTTCTGCCGGCAACACCCACGTCTCGGGGAAAAACTTGTATTCCTTCGGGGCCTCGTGGTACATTCGCGACATGAGCATCGCGAGGCCCGCCTGAGACACAAAACGTTGTAGCGCGACATTCCATCGAGTTCTATCATGTGGATCCCGTTTCATGTTGAACCTCATGAGGAAATTTCACAGCATTGACAAATGGTCACCGGTTCCATATTTTGTCTCTCAGCCGAGAGGAACATGGCACCCCTCCCTCTGTTCCTAATGAGCGAATCCGATAATATGAAAGTTTGTTGTCGAAGACCGAATTAACTGTATTTTATTGTGCACGGAAGAATTCGGAACATCTCCCAGATCTACGGTTGTATTTGGGTTCTTGTTGTACCGCCCCGGAGGCGTGTTGGTTGGGTTGTCTTGGTTTGGTTTTCTGGGGTCTTACAAAAAGAAAGGTCTCACGGAGTTCTCATTCTGCTGCCTCGCTGCTCCTGCATCAAGAGTTTGATAGACGCGTGTCTACTGGACCAAGGGCCACGTGTTGAGGAATGCACAGTGTGTAACACGCAGCCCGCGTCGGAGGGTCACGCGGGAAGGCGGGCAGCAGCTAGCTACATCGAAGTTTGGACCCGTAGCTAGCAGAAATTCGTAGCTTTTCTCCCGCCCACCCACCCCTTTTCTTTCGAAGGTGGGGGATAGGAGATGTTACGAGTGAGGACTCACCTATAATAGGAGAGGCATCTTAATATTTCTGTGACTCGGAATAGGTGCAACCGTTTGCCACGTAGAAGTATGGCGTAGCATTGGGGCGTTTTCTGAATGGTAGTGCGTACCATTGGGAGGCTCAATCGTCCGAGACTGCTACTGTGCAACAGTTTCGTCCCGTCTGGTAGTATTCGGAGGGAGATTTTGTGTTTTAGAAGCAGAGACACGTTAGGATACCGCAGAGGTTTGTGCCGTGCGGAACGTGTGGTACGGGGGATTTCTCCCTCCGTAGGCCACAGAAATATTAATCAAGGCAATTCGAAAGAAAACAACAAAGGTTGAGGTGGGGTTCATGGTTTTGAGACTCCACCAGACATGGGGATCGACAAGGTCAGTAGAACAACCTTCTCGAAACTCCTCCACAGTCAACCCGCTAGATTCCAGGCGTTTGTTTTATACATACGTGCTTGGTTTTGTGTTAGTGGCGGGACGTCGAATGAGTGTCCAGACGCGAAACCGCTTTCTATCAAGCTGTATGCCGTCCTCACATATGCGGGGGGCACACCTTGCCGGGGGGAATTAGGCGGGGGGAACGAACGACTGTTCGTGCCCTCGCGTTGTCACGGACTACAGTAATGCCTAGTTGAGGAGACTAAACGTTTGTCTCGGCGAAAACAATATGAGTAGTAGAAACGATGACGGCAACAACAACAACCGCAGCAGCAACAGCAGTTCTACCACCAACAGCACCAACAGCACCACCACCACCACCAACAACAACAACAAATGCCAGCAAGTTCGCCGGCTCACTCACCTTACGGGCGAAGAAGGCGAGCCCCGGGAGGTGGCTGTAGTACTGGAATGACTGAAGGCCCTGTAGGTACTCCTCGAAGTTGCCGTGGTCGTGCCACATCACGTTCCAGAGCTTGTTACACATGCCTTTGTGGGTGCACGTGTAGGAAGCGTCCGCCGTCTTGTTAGGGTTTGCCTCATCCGTCCTGTTGGAGAAGGGATGGCGTCGAGGGAAGATGGGGGTTAGGAACGGGATCTAGCTTCATACACTTGTGCTTGCGGGGGTGCAGACGGTGTGTGTGTGTGTTTCTCGCGATGAACACCCTCGGGCCTTGCTAATTGCGAGATGCGCGTGGCACGTTCATGGTGTTTCCTCATCTAGCGTTCCACCCCTCGTCACCACAGAGCCACTCGTTTGTAACACACAAGGTGTAGATCTTGAGGTAATCCCGCTTTTTGGTGAATACAGTGGGGGGTTGCGGGGTCAGTTAGTTCAAAGCATCGTATCAGGCACACACAGGGAAGTTGTGTGCAATTTCAAGATATTGGTGCCGGTGTTTTGATGGTTCTGTCAATCGAGGAGATGTCGCTCGAGAGCCGTCATTTGAATGTCAAGCGTGCAGCACCGTCTGCCCCAAGCCTTGTTGGACTTACCGCGGCTTTTTGGTGAGAGGGTCGCTGTGGCGGCTAAACTTCGTCTCGCACAGGCTCCACCCGAGCTCTAGGGCGCACTCTCGCACGACGGCATATTCGCACTGCACGATGTCCATAGACCAGAACATTCGGGTGATACAAACGGAATACACGGACAGAGAGGTACGATGAAACAGAAAAGAACAAATAAAACGTTGTTCGCTGTTGGGGGCGAACCAATAGTTTTGTTCCAACTTTTAGATGAAATTAGACGGCATAGTGACAGCAAAATTAGTTCTCTTCGCGGAAAAAATTATCGTCTCGTATTCGGCGGGGGTAAAGTCAGGTGAAAAGAACAATTGGGAGGGATCCAAGGACTGAATTGAGGTAGAGGAAGGGGGCGGGGAGGAGTGTTCTTTGTACAACATAGGCAAGAAAAAATACACACCACGCCCACCACATGAGCGTGTGAATACCGCACCCACAAAGACAAACACCTCACAAAACGAAGCAACCACGCCAGCGCCAGTCCTGATAGTACATTAGAAAAGATCGACACGATCAATGGCAAGTGGTTGGGGTTTCAGAAACCGAGCAGGGGACGGAGTGGGAGAGGCAAGGTGAGACCGGAGATTGGAACCAGGCCATGCGAGGGGGGGGCAGAATCAATGGTCTGGACGAGGAGGTAATGCATGCAATAAGAGACCAATTTACACGGCGGCACACAGGGTTGGCAGCATGATCACGGGAGGGAAATCGTGTGTGAGACGGGCATAGAACCATCGAAGGACCGCTCAAGCGAAGTTTAATGGCTGACAACAAGAGAGAGAGAGAGAGTTAACTGTCTGAAAACATACCCACGTTCCGCGACACCCCGGAAATTCACGTAGAAAGTGGGCCGCTCGATCACGACTCAAGCACACCACCCACTTCCCCGCGTCTTATCTGCCCTTGATCGTCGGCACAGTTCACTATTCTCTTTCATGGCCGCGGCCATGGGTTTGAAGGTCTCAAGAAAATATCTCGACGCGGGCCGCGCCCCCATTCGTTGATGCCCACTGCCCCCACCAGGAGAAACGTTAAGCACAGCAGCAGCAACAACGACAACAACTCACGTGGCTCGCGTTCATGACGATCGGTCCAGGGCCCTTCGGTCGCCGGTTCAGGCCGCCCCCCGAGTCCCTCCTCTGCTCCCCGCCGGTCCCCTCCGCCTCTCCTACCGCGCCACTCTCTACCACCACTGTTCCTTCTCTTTCTCCGTCACCCGACCCTGCCGCTTTCTCGCCCCCGCCGTCGCCGTCTCTGTCTGATCGTGGGTCTTCGGGAGCGGCGGCGGCATCCCCCAAGGTGGTACCGCCGTTCCGCTGCTTCCCTCTCGAAAGGCGAGAAGCGGAGGACTTCCGCAGGCGAGACGACGGCTCGAGGTCACCTTTGTCACGGTCGTCGCTGCTGCGTCTAGGGTAAGGGTTCCTGGTCTCGGCTCGAAACGTGGCAGAGGGCTTCCTCTTCGGGGTCGGTGACACCTCGGTATTGGTGGAGTCGTCGTCGTTGTCGTCGTGAACGCCGTCGTTTCGTGTCGACTCGGTTGCGATGTCTGCTTCGTCTGATCTGCGTCTTCTCCGAGAGGAGGAAGGGGCTCGGCCCTCGCTGTGGGAGGAGAGAGAGCGGCGGTGGCGCTTGTTCACGCCGGCGTCCGTGCTACCAGCGTCACCACCATCGGTGGTACTAGGACGCGGTGGGTCTGAATTTCTTTGAAACCACTCGCCGTCGCCGTCGTCATCGTCGTCATCGAATAGGCTGGCGAGGACCCCCGGCGTCATGTTCAGCAGCGTTTGGCGGTGTTCTTCCTGCAAAGAGGGGACCCGCGTGCACGCGCGAGGGGGGAAGTCGAGCCATTGAATCTTGTCAAGCCTATTTTCCTGCTAACCGGAAATATTTCGTCACCAATCGCCCGCGAGATATAACTGGTGGATTCTGTACACCTTTCCCAGGACGCATCAAAGAATTCATCCATTGTAATGACCCTGTGCGTTGGTCATTGCGGTACCCCCAACGGATTGGCAGGTGCACATATTGGGTAATACACGCCTGCGCTGTCTGAACGTTGGACCGCAGGTCTTCGCACACAAATTTTACCACAACCACGAAGTTCATAACGGAACAACTGACTTTCTTGATCTCGCGGCCGCCAGCTTTTCTGTTCGTACCTCTCGTTCGACCTCTTCCTCCCCTACGGATTTGTCCGCCGCCGCCCGACTCATCCCCATTAGTTCGTTGGCTAGAGTCCTCTGCAGCTCGGAGTCGCACTCCATTGAGAGACGGCGGGGACGCACGAACGCTGCCCCAGTCACGAGCAAAGGACAAGGATCGCAACCAATCATCTTTGAGCAGAGCCACGCGGGTTTCATCACCAACAATCGATGAAGCCCAAGAAACAAGAAAGAAACGCCCGGCCTAGCCTACAAGAGAGCCGTATTGACAATGTTGTAAAGAGGGGTGTCCCTGATAGCTTTCAGCTCTGGGTGTCTATTGCAAGATGGGATTTACGGAAATAAGTACACACGCGAGTATGATAAGGGTCAACTGCCTGGCTTGACTCACTTGGGAGGGTATCGTCCGCGCCCTTCCCGCTGCCGCTGCTCCCACTGCTGCCGGTGCTGCCACTCCGACGACCACTCTGCTCCTCGTTAGGAGACTGGCTCGGCCTGTGCCGTTGCTCTCGTCGTTTCTGCTGCTGATTGTTGCCGATGTGCTTGGCAACCCCTCTGCCGAACTCGTCTTCCGATCCCGAGAGGTTGTCGTCCTTCACGAACGACGCTCCGTCCGCACTACCAATGTCGTTGTGGTCGTCATTTCCGCTCCCGCCCTTTCTACCATTGCCGGCGGTCGCTAGACCTTCTTCTCTGTTTGAACCTGCAGCGTCTCTCGTCCGTCCTGTCTCGTTTCCACCGTCGCTGCCCGTACCCCGTTCGACGTCTTTCTCCTCTGTATGGTGGGGTAACCTTGCGACAACTACGCGCTCCTCTTCCTCCTCTCGCTGGCCTTCCGAAGGGGGAACATCTTGCCTCCTGCGTCGTTCACTACTGCTAGAGCTGTTGAGTTCACTCACAGCCACCCCTGGTGGCGGTGCAAAACTGCCGGCCGGCGTCTCCTCACGACGCGAATCCCTGTCGCTCGGGTCATTACAATCAAGGCCGGCAGTACGAGCCTGTTGGAGGTCAGGAGAGAGCCCGGGTTCCCGAGGAAAACCCCCTGTCGAGTCCGCTGCTCCTGAACCCTGAAGACCGCCCTTTAAGCTACCCACACATGAAATATCATTGATCACATCACTACCAGAATCGCCGTTCAACGCCGGAGCATCCCAGCGTTGCTCGGCATGCTTCTCGTCTGAGCTTCCGGCGTCGCCGGGAACGCCACTCGGGGTTTCCATTGCGGCAGGCGAGGGCTCCATGCAATGCTGTCGCCGACTTCCACCGCCCGCACCTTCTCCCCTGGTAGTAGAGACGCTGAGGTTTATCTGCTGCGGCCTTTCTTGTGCGATCCCTGATGACGCGGACTCTCGACCACGAGCTGTCGATGTTGTCACCGTTGGGGTTTGAGCGTCGAGCCTTTCCTCGATATCTTTGCACTGCGGGTAGGGAGGACTCAGTTCACTCGGCGGTACATCCTCGAGCTCGGTAGCAGCATTTCCCATGGAAGGAAGAGGGTCCACGCTTTCATCAACTTCGTGGTGTTGGCGTTGATTGGCCGCAACGCCCACCGCTGCTTCCCTCGCCCCCCCTGCCTCCTCCAATGGGTTCTGTTCTCCCATGTCGTGTTCATCGCAGCGAACCGCAGCGAGTTGGTCCTGTTCTTGTTGCTTTTCTTGTTGTTGCTGCCCTGTGTGCGAGCCTTGAGGCAGTACCCTTTCGTGGGTTAAACCATCCTCTGGTGTTGAGTACAGTTAGCGCCCGCAATTAAGAAATATTTTGTTAAGAATTGAGGCTCACTTTTTCACGAAAAATAAGAAAATAGGCTTAAGAAACATAGCTCAATCTGGGTCACACAGTAAGAAATGTCTCAATAAGAAACACAGCAGCGACTGCTGCCCTACTACATAAGAAACGAGGGGTTACGGGGGAGTGTGTCGAATAAGAAACAAACCCCACAGCTCTCTCGCTCTTTCCCCCTCTCCCCCTACCCCCCCCCCTTCCCATAGTGCATTATTATTAGATGTACGCCGAGGGGGGAGTGTTTTTTTTTGCGGCGCCCCCTCCGGCCCCCTGCGGGCTCTGCGCTCTGCCTTGCTGGCCGCTAAAGCTCTGATTTTCGTTGTTGACTGTCAGCGTGCGGGTGAGGCATCATGCGGTGTTCATGCATTTGTTTAGTTTCAGCCCTCACTCATGAGGGGGGTACAAGACCTTGTAGCGATAGCAAGACGTTGCCGTTGAATACATTTCGCTTCTAGGGAGTGGCCTTACGTGCAGCCGTCGGTAGTGAGAATCGGGATTGAGTACGGGAGGCGAGGAAAGCAGAGAAATAAGAAATTGCCGATTTAAGAAATTCAGCAGGATTTGGCTGCACGACAAAATAAGAAACATGATATATAAGAAACTGAACGGCATACGCTGAGTTTATAGCCCACAATAAGAATTCGAGGCTGGACCTGAAATCAGCGTTTCTTAATTGCGGGCGCTAACTGTATGTCGTGAGCAGCGAGGGAGAGTTGGGCGAGGTGGTCTTATCGTCAGTTGAAAGATACGCAGATATACTGGCGCGCGTACGTGGGCGCCAAAAGCAACACTGCTTAGAAGTACTTCCTACTTGTACTCAATCCGATGTGGTCTCTGGAGATTGATGCTTATTGTCTAGACTTACCGCTGGGTTGGAGTCACTCGCAGAGATAATTACACTGATAATTATTAATTTGTGCTATTGATAGTGGCTGCAAAGGGTACGCAATGCACGTGATGGGAGGCTCGAAGTTCGTGCGTGTGCACTTGGAAGACCGCCAAAAGGATGATGTTGTTGAATACGCGGTTCAACCACATATCACTGCAGTAATGACACGAACATTGGATGGAGTCACAGCCGTGACGTTCGTTTCTGGAATTACGAAGGAGATGTGCCGCCGCCGATCGCGAAAATGCAGATACATTCAATCGAGGCAACCTCCGCACCAACAATTTTCGAGCGATACACGCTTCTCGTTTATTTTTACCAGACACATACACCATCTTTGATACAATATACCGGTGGCACGCCCTCACCTGTTGAACGTCGTGTTACTCCTGTATGATCGACATGGTGTCCACTCATCATGTCGCCGGTAGTGGGGCCGTACTCCTGTTGCAACCTCGCTCATTTGCAAATCGTCAACCGTAAACTTGTTTTGACAAGTACGTGTTCATTTCACGCGGCGAAGTCTGATGACGATCCCCGATCCACAAGGTGGAGACACATCAAAGTGTTGCACACCCGCGAAAAGCCAAGAACACGAAAACAACATGTTCGGTGCGGCGCATCATCAACAGGTTTGGTTCCCAAACCATGAAACCGTCGGTCAAATTCCAAGCGACAATTTCGGAATTTTTTCTGTGTCTCATTCGTTTTTGGTACATTTGGTACTAGCGGGTCGTGTGTTTTGTGTGTACGAGCGGGTCGTGTGCACTTGAAAATAGGTGCGAATACGGCGCCCATGAAAGACGAATAAAGAGGCTTCGAAACTTGGTCAGTCCAACGCTTCGTCTAGAGGGGGGGTCGTTTAATGGAAGGTTAGGTGCCTCGCCCAGAGAGAGCACGTGTCTACAGCCTGTTGTGCCCCCCAACATTTTGGTTTGGTCACCGTCGCTCTGATATATCATCGGACCTCGTGGACCATTTCACCTCGTTCCCTCTCCTCTACCCTACTGCAGTTAGCTTGTAGCGAATCATCCTTACCGTAACACCAACTACTGTGCGCTACAAGAGGCGGCCCGCGCTGCCTAAGTTCCACCGGCGAAACGCGGCGGAACTTCGACCCCATACACTGCCGCCGCTGTCTGTGTGCGGTGCTCTCTGACCACCGCCGGCCGACCAGATGCCCCAAGTGCCTCACCCCCAGCAGCGGCCTCGTGGCCCTACGAGTTCTTTGCATTCCGCTGCTGCTGCTGGTTCTTTCGAGAGTGCAGCTGCTGTTCTTGCGAGCGGTGCTCTCGACATTAATCAGGCAGATCCGAAGGGCTGGACCGCTCTCATGATCGCTTCCCGCCAAGGACACTCGCGCATTGTCAGGATGTTTCTGGACAAGGGCGCAGAGGTCTTGATAACAGAGGATCGAGGCTATACTGCTTTGCACTAGTCCGCTATAGCAGGACACCCGGCCGTGACCAAGATGCTGGTGGAGGCCGGTGCACCCCTCGAGGTTGCCACCAAACAGCAGCTTTGCACGCCGCTTCAGATTGCTGCTGTCAACGGATGCGCCGCGTCCATGACAACATTACTCGAGGCCGGCGCGAATCTCAACAGCCGTCGGTTTGATGGGGCAACGCCGCTATTTTTGGCGGCGTGGGAAGGGAACGTGGATGCGGTAAGGCTGCTACTTCTTGCGAAGGTAGACCCGCTCTTGACCCCCCACCTTGGTACGTCTGAAAGGGCCTCCCTCCCGTTGGACGTTGCGGCGGGTCTTGGACACCTGGAAGTGGTAAACGAGCTGATCCGGCAGGTTGGCATCGGCGGATGTGGTGGCTCAAGCGGAGGTGTACGTGCTCTCCAGCAGGCCGCTCGGAACAAACATTTGGACATGCTGACTGTTCTAACCAACGCCGGAGTGGTAGACACAGGATTAGCGCGCGGCCGCCGCATTTGGAGGCGTGGCCCCCTTGAAGTTTCTGTTGGAGCAGGCAAGGGCGAGGAAAACCACGGGTGGACCTGCGTATGTGAACACCCACAGCGGTGTCGGTTTGACGCCATTGCTTGTTGGCATCAGCGATGCCGCCCCAGAGTTGTGCGGTTGCTTGTCGAAGCGGGAGCGGACACGACATCCACGGTTCCAATCGACGGCCTACCTGGTACGGACAACATCACACCCATGGGTCTCACGATGCTTCTCCTCCATGATTTGGGAACTGAACCATTGACAGAGGAGCAGCTGAATGCCCTAGAGGCCATACACCGCTTGCTGCTGCGAGTGGAGGCACTTCACGCGGTCTCTTGGCTGTGGTCTAGCGATATCTGCAACTGCACCTATTCTACGGCACAGGGCACCGACCGGACGACGTCGAAATCGACAGCTGGAACACCGCTCGTGTTGACGATGAGGCAAAGGGCTCGATCTAAAGAGCGTGAGGTTCCTTTGGCGGCCCTGTTGAGGTGGGATGTTGTAGTGACGTGAAGATCTGTATCCCACCCTATGCATTGTAGCTCTGAATGAAAATTGGGGTAAAACAAATGAAGAAACCCAAAGAGAGTCCAACAGCACTCGCGAAGAATATTTCCCCTCCAGACCAAGTCCAGCACAGTGGGATACTTGTAGGAAGAAAAAGTCAGAAAACAAAATGTAGTACTACAGTGTCCCGGCCCGCTCAGAAAGAGAACCGTAACAAGATGTCGAGGCTCGAAGTTTTGTTGATGTACGAGAATTGGCCTAAGAAATCGGGCTTAGCCGGCAACACCACACGAATCCTGCCACTTGTATTTTGGAGGTGGGCAATGGCCCGTGATCAATCGGTAGACACAGTAGGGCTCTCAGCCTTGCTCGCAATAGGCATTTCTTATGAGCGAGTCTGAAGACCGGGTGGCTCCTATTCGGAAACTTGTTCACACGACAAGCATCTAGACTCCAGGGAGTATCATATGCAACATGAAATTAAACCTGAAAGAAACTATCCCTTCAACCAATCCACCGCTAATCGTCGTTTCTCGGTGGTGTGCGGGGGTTGGCATGTAGATTACTGAACAGGCCTGGAGATAAGAAACATCGATCTCGGGTCTTATATTTTATCGCCACTGCTGTCCAACACAGGCTTTTGTATGCTTGAAGTAGACTTTACTATAAGATCCACCGCTAAGCTGTTTTTTTTAACCCAGGATTCTTATTTTGGTGAAGTTTGGTTATTTTTGAGCCTCTACAGTATTTCTTAACGAATAGTCTAATACTTGTACAAAGTATTTCTTAACTGCGAGCGAGCCTGTTCTGTATGCCACGTAGATCTCTCGTGTCGTCGCGATCGCCGTGGTGTTGTATTTTTTGTGCCGCTCTGGGTTCTATCGTTGTCCTGATCTGTATCTGGCCGTGTTTGCTTGGCTTGCGATGCTTCGAGTCTATGTAATGATTGATCCGCTTCGGTATTGAGGTTGAAATGACTCCTTGTAAGGATGAAGGCATTAGACAAAACGGTGGGGTTTTTGTGTTGCGGGGCCACGGTGCTCCTCGCACATGGTTTTTCGAGAGCGGCAAACGCCTACCTACGCTCTAGCCGACTCCGACCGATGTTCAGACCGCCTCTCTGCTTTGTGTCGCTCGTCGTCTTTCGCACCCGTACGCTGTTGTTGCAGGTATTCGTCAAAGCCATGATGGACAAGGGGGCCTCGTCAGCCTCCGGATTTGTCGTCGGACGGCGTGGCGTGGTGGGCACTCGCGTAGCAGCATCCATGCCCAGGCGTGGATTGGACGAAGTGGCTCCAGGCAAATTTCGATGGGTTATTGTGTTCATGCCCGAAGATGTCTAGAGCTTCCGGTTTGGGCGTTAAAAGGACACCCGCAGCGATGCTGCCAGTACGATCAACAATGATCCCTCTGAAAAGGACGTTCGTAAAGGACAAACCTGAGAACCCTTGCGAAACCTGAAAACCCCTGCGATATAGAGGTGCTTGGAACATAACCACAAGGCTTGTATACGAGGAAAGGGGTCAGGGAGGAAAGCAAACGGAAGGCAGGAACCAAATGATTTGTAGTATGCCACCGACCCAACATGTTTCTCCCGTATTGTCTTCTATTGTCTTCGGGACTGAAGTTCTAAAACAGGTATCCCTCTGTACGTGAGCATTGCCTCGAGCGCCGTGGGCATTCGTTTTCGAGGTTGGCTATGTTTCGAGAACAGAAAGGGGCGTCAGCCAGACAGAAAAAAACGCAATGGTACTGTTCGCCGTTCCGAGACACCACTCACTAATCAATGCTCCAAGTGTTGCTGATGATGATGACCTCGCGTGTGTGCGTTGACGTCCCACTCAATGTCGACAACGTCCGAACCACATGGTTGATACAACACGAAGCAAATAGAGACACGCAAATGGCAAACTGGGTCGTTTCGAAGAGGGCATCGTCAACATCATTGCGATAAAACCTGTTTATGCCTCGCTGGAGCATTTGAGGCCGCTCCGTGTCGTGTAGGATGAAACTTCGGTGCTTCTCTTCGTGCCTGGCGGTAAGTGAGCCGAAGCACTGAGCGGAGTGGAACCTTGCCAAGACCGTGGTCGTATGTTGGTTAGCGTCGCCAATGTTCCAGGTCAGTGCAGCCTTGTAAGGCAGTTAACGCCTCAGGGCTACTGACTGTCGGCCCGATTTGGGAGTGTAGGTTGAACACGGGGTTATTTTGGCACCTACAGTACCGTGTGAAACCAACCGCGGCGGCATTTGCTAGGAGCGACAACACCACCACCCACTGCCTCGGCATGTAACCTGAAAAGGGGACATCAGCGAAAGGCCATGTACTCGAAAAATAGTCGCTCGGGAATAGCCCCGCACTCAACAGACGCCATCTTCCTTTGTGTGGGGTCCCACAAGCACTTCCAATTATGTCAATGGGACCCGCAAAGCGTAGTCAGCCTGTGGTGTGGCAGCAGCTTAAATGTCACAAACTTTAGTGCTCGGAAACAAGCGTGAAATGTCCAATATCCCCCCTGTTCCCAGGGCCGCGTCCAACGACCTCGACCGCACCTGCCGATGTCCTGTCCAAAACTCAGGTCGAAAATCCATCACAACGCCGGGTGAAAAAAAAAACCTTGGGGCAAAAATCACACTCAACTCAAATTCAACCAGGGACAGGCAGTCGTACGAACGTTTTCTTCCACACCAAGACCACCGGAAGCAACGCAAACAACAACAACGGCAGGCGTACGCAGATCGCACAAATGTTGTCCAATCAGTTCACACCATCAGCACACAACGCTGGGCAACCTAGCAATACCAAAATAACGGCTATCAGCGAGAGAAACCAACAAACTATCGTCGGTCCTCAGCTCCTACACCCCTTCCACGCGACACTTCTTGCGTTTTCATAGAGAGGCAACAAATGGGCAACGCCCAAAATGATACTCAGAGAGCCTCGAACCCAAGGTTGAACTCCGCCCGATCAGGCATCACGCAGAAGAAATGAAAGGGTCACAGCAGTCAACCCGAGGAGGGGGAGGGGGGGGGGTCCTTATTGGCATACTAGTGCGGCGTCTTGTCGTGTTGGTGCTCTTTTCGGTCCTCAGCCAAGACGCGGTCAAGCTGTCTCGTCACTCTTTCTACTACCACTTAGCCGACGTGGACACCACGACCGGAGCCCTCACACGGGCCGGGATGTACGCCCATCTTCTAGCAGCAAAAACGCAAACACAAGTACACCGGATCCCAAACCAGCACTTAAGCACAGAGGGAAACTCCCCGGTCTGCGGGGGTCCTGTTCCCGCCGTAGAGAGCGACAGCGTGTTCATTGCGCCCCGTTCTTCCGCTTGGTCGAACGGTTCCTTCTTTCGCTCTTACTGGTAGAAAGGGGCCCGCACATAGAGGTTGGTATGACTTTGGTCACGGTTCGGAGTCCTCGTCGTCATCCGTGTGGGCGCCCGCGATGTCGCCTTCGGAGCTTTCCGTTCCCTTTTTTCCGCGGCACCGCAAAGCAAGGATGGACGACAAAGAGTCGGAGGAGGAGAACCAGGAGGTGAGCGCGAAAGGGGGCCACAATGTGTGAATGCAAAACCAAGCAACAATTCACAAAGCAAATGGAGAACACAACAGCAACAACGACAACATGGAAACGTGGGCAAACATGTTTTCGTGCCTAGCACCAGCTGGTATCGCTGTTATCAATCATCAGTGTACAAGTTTAAAACAGACTCGAAACTAGCCCAGTGTCCAGCCGGTTTCCCTCCACTTACTGCAAAGACTCCAACAAACACCCCCCCTTCGACTGTGGTTATCTCGAAAGAGTGGTATTTCTGTGTTTTCAAGTATTTTTCCTAAACTTGGCGCTACCTTGACTGCCACGTTTGACGCCTCCGACTCCATCGTCATGCTTAGCACCGACTCCCGATCAACGTCGGACGTCCCGTTCCACGCCCTGCTCTCATCGCTGTGGCCGTTCAGACCAGCCTCCTGCAAAATAGAAGCCAACAACGCCGTAAACAGCACAAGCAGCGCGGGTTTTGCGTTGGGGGCAAATTCAGAGAACCCCTAGAAGGAGAGTCTCCAACACTAGACGGCAAAAAAACACCGTCTCGCTTGTTACTCCGTCATCTTCAAGGCATGGCCCACAACAATAGCGGGAACGGCAGAACCAAGAGCAGCAGCAACAACCGTACCAGCTAACTGGATTGTTGGATACCTCATTCCGCCGACACAAAGGTAAACGGGTGCGAAATGACACAGCACACTCACCACACCCACCCGGGTTGTTCCGTCCGAACAACGCTGGACGAACCAAGGAAAAAACGTATCGGCTCTGGCCCCTGGCCATGGGGTACCCGAATCCGCAAATGCTGCGTTGTTTGACAGAGGCGAGAGATGCACACTGCATCCGGAGAGCCACAAGTAGAGGCAACGTCCTCGTTGACGGTGACAACATCCCCAGTCACCCCCCTCACCACCACCGCAACCACCTCACGACCAAACACACAACACCGCCCGCCAAACCACATCCAAAGCACAACATACTGCTGTGTAGCTCGAGTTATCTCTGTGCTATTATTCTAGCCAGCGCCGACCACTTTAGCACAAAGGTCCCGACGTGCAAGGCCCAATATTTGCCAACCCGGAACAACTATTCGGTATTTAACTTCCTTCTCACCGAGCGGTTAGCATGGCCGTTCTCTCCACCGCCCCCACTCCACCCGCCACCACCGCCACCCTCGTCCCCCTCCTCCCCCGTGTCACCCCCAGCCGCGTGGCCCCCATTGCTGAGGCCGTCTTCCCCGGCGATGTAGTACTCCCCTTCCAGCTGCAAGTCGGCCGACACCTTCTTACGAGCGTTGCTCACTTCTTCTGGCGACAGGCTCCGCTTCGACTGGCCAATCAGGGCGCGAGAAAAAACAAACGTTAGCGTCAAGTTTCACAGTTGGCATGTGTGAGGGGGGGGGTCATGATGCCTCCCTCAAGCTGTGCTTGACCATTGGCAAAGCCATCCGCGCTCATTCCGGGCGTGACCTACAATTTACGACCTACATGGACGAAGGTTGAAAGGTGGTTCGAACGGTAGGACGTGATTGATGGGAGGGTAGTAAGCAGCCTGTTTTGCCTTGGAGAGGAGTCAATTCGACGTTTCGGCGGCAAACCGTACCACCCTGACACATTGTGGTTGTTGGTTGTTGTCGCCTTCACATCGCAAAACCGTTTCTGGTCATCCGCAGAATTTCCTCTTTCGTGCTGCTCTTCGCCAAGGGAAAACTACCGTAATTGGGCGTGTTATCACACCCCCGTGTTAGCGTTTTTCTATAGCGTATTTCTCGACAACCAGGGAGGTATCACCTCCGAAAAGGGTGGTTTTGGAAAAATCTCGTGGAGGGCTTTTCTGAGAGGTATCAGTTGGTGTTCGCACCGTCCTAATTGTGGAGAAATACGCCATAGAAAAACGCTAACACGGGGGTGGGATAACACGCACAATTACGGTAAGCCTCTCCCCGTGTTCACCATCTAAAACCATCGGTGCAACTACAACCTTCTTCCGAAGCCGGGTTCAAGCAACCATATACCTAATAGGTATGAGACTTGGCTTAAACTGACGGGGGGAGCGCTATAAGAGCATAGCGTGGCCCAAAAAATCACTTGGGTCCAGTATTGGTACAGGAAGTGGTTGGACAAGCTCAAATCGTCACGAGCGTTTTTAGAAAGTAAACATAACCTCACAGGAAAACTACCCGTTCGAGATATAGCCTCAGTCGAAAGAGATGTGTTTTAAGTACTTTCAGCAAGTGGAGTGAAACCGACTGGAAACTGGGCATTGTGAGTTTGTGCAAGCCTTTACACTGAGTTCTCAGCGAGCGTTATATTTCGCAGGGTTCAAGGTGGAGTTTCATCGAGGTTCGACAGAAGCACTAGGGGGTGTAGGCCGTGAATGATCCGGCAGAAAGCGGACCTACCAACAGAATAGTGATGAGGCTTGACCGGAAGACACGACAATAACGACAGAAACAATAACTATTATTTCCCCGGGATCGCTACATTTCATTCCATAACTCACCACCACAGCACCCCGTCCCGTCGCGGGTTGTCCCTGTCCCCGCGGAAGGTTCGCAAGCTCGACCTGGTTCGTGGTATATCGTTATCCCGGTGGCGGCAGCAACAGCAACAGCAGCAGCAGCAGCAGCAGCAGCAGCAGCAGCAGCAACAGCTCTTTGCATAAACACGTATACGAGTGAGTTGTTTCGCCACACACGAACAAAAAAAATGGTGATTTTGGACGGGGTACGAGGTGGCACGATTCCTTGGAAAGAGGGCAGGGCGGTGACGACGGCCAGCAGCGGAGGCCATCGGGGAAATAATGTCAGAGCCGGCGGGAACAAAATCGCCTGGGGTTGCGGGCGCAACATCAACGCAGAGACATACGCTGGCACTGACGTCTGTTCAATGGTCGGCCGTATCTGACGTCGGTGAAAAATACACACAAACACACACGCGCGAAAGCCCAACAGCAGTATCCAGTACCTTGGCGGAAAGCTTGCAGAAGCTGGCCTCCTGGGTGTCTTTGTTGATGACGAAAAGGAGGTGCGGGTTTCCGTCGTATTGCGTTTGCGCCTGGGGGGGGGGCGGGCGCACCATCATTTTGTGGCGCCATCGAGCAGACGAGCAGACGACGCACCAATGCACCAGCAGGCCGGCACCAGGAAGAAGCCAAGGGCGAAAAAGAGTTCGACAGCAGTTGTAGCGGTAAGCGGGAGCGGCAAGCGACAGAGTCAACAATACAGCAAACAGAGAGAGG